CAGCCACAATTCTGATGTTTCTGGGGGTTTTTTTTCCATGCTGACTTCTTTGGAGGGCCAATCCCTTTCTGACTATATTCATTTCTGTCTAAGTTAGCTATCATAATCTTTATAAATTCAACATCTAAGTGGACAGACACATTCACAGAGTAGAGGAACAGTGATACAAACAATGGACAATAAAGTATCACTGCAGCATAAAACATACATGAAATTGAAGGCAAACTTGAATGCACATTTTGATACATGCTTAGATATTTCCACACCTGAGGAATGCATTCTGGTAAGTTTGTGTCTTTTTGTTTTTTATTTGTTCAGAATGATTAAGAGCTCAAACTCAAGAGTTATACAGACTGGAGGCAAAAAAAATATCTCTATCACATTATAATCTGTGAGATCTTAGACAAGTGGAGAAACCTGGTCTCAGTCTCCTCTGGGATAAAAGTAAATAGTAACTGGTGGTAATAGTAAATGATGTAACTATGTTAGTCTTTTAAAAAAATTTTAAAAATAATGTCATTAGGCCAGGTGTTATAGTGCACATCTGAAATCCCAGCACTCAGGAAGTTGAGGCTGGAAGACTGCTGTGAGTTCAAAGCCAGCCTGGACTGTACAGTGAGTCCAAGGCCAGCCTGAAATACATAGTGAGTCCTGGTCTCAAAATAAATAAATAAATAATAAAATGTCCTTATATAGGATCTTATTTTCTTCCACATACAATATTTGAAATGATATATATACTTTTTTACCATGCATTCTTAGTGCTGAGTGACTGACAACCCAACAGTTGAACAGAAAAACCATCTCCAACAGTTTCCTTTTTATCACTTGTACAATAGTCCTAGACTATAGTGGACACTAGATGGAGCAACATTCTAAGTAATCCATCCTAACCATCAACTTTCTTTTCAGCACTATTTAAAAACAAATCAAGTCAGGAAACATGATGAAGCCCGCTGAGCTAAACATACTCTGCAGGGAAACACAAATGGCTTTGCATAATGCAACTGAGGAAACAGGCGAGACAGAGATATGGGGTCAGGATATATAGCTCAATGGTAGAGCACCTACCTGCCACATGCAAGGCCCTGGGTTCAATCCCAAACACTGCAAAAGAAAACCCTAAAAACAGATTTTAGAAGAAAGGCTTGGATATAGAGCAGCTTTATCTAATAACATGGGGTGAACTATTTCCCCAAAAATTCATTTGCTGAGGTCATAGTGCTTGGCTTATAACTGTATTTGTAGAAAGGATCTTTAAAGATGTAATTGAGTTAGCTTGTTCTGTGTGTTTTCCTGTCATGTGGTTCAGGCTGGCCTTAGACTCACAGTGCTGCTGTTAAGATGTCTAAGGCCGAGGTAGGGGGTGGTAAAGGGGCCTTTTGAGCATATCCTGGAATCTGAATTCTACAAAACCCAGTCACCCCCAGAAAGGCTCACAACTGTTTGATATATTTTGGCAAAGGAAAGTCTGGAGTGGGTTGTATTTTCTCTGATTTTAGTGCCCTTTTGCCCTCAGATATGAGCAATCATAAATAGGTGACCTGGAACTGGCAGATTAGGGCCTTCTCCCAGGATGCTTCATAACCCCAGGGGACTAGAAAGTTAAGGAGGGACCCATTCACAGGGTCTCTGTGTCCCCACAGAGCATCAGACCATCTGCATAATGTGATGCCCTCTTTCTTCCATTTTAGTAGGCCTTATGCTAGTGGTGGGCCAAAAAGCCTTAAAACTCCTAGGGAAGGACTGTCCAGGTCAATAGTGCCATTCTGGCTAGTGGATGTGCTGACTCTCAGGCACCGAGGGAACACTAAAGAAAGCATTTTTAAGATCTAAGACAGAAAAACAGCTGGCTGAGACTGGAATCTGTGTCCAGTGTAAGGACTGACACAACTGGATGTAGAGGCCCCACAGTGCTGGATTATGGGGATATGCCTCCACCCCCAGCAGCAGGATGTCTTTGTAAGAAGAGACCATTTAGCTGGGTATGGTGTTGCACGCCTGTAATACCAGCACTCCGGAGGCTGAGGCAGAAAAATCCCAGTGAGTTTGAAGCCAGTTTGGGCTACATAGTGAGTTCAAGACCAGTGTGAACTGCAAAGTGAAACCCTATCTCGAATAGACAAAACAAACAGAAACCCCACATTGTCTTGGACTTCTAGACCTACAAGAAAGTACTAGAAAGATAAATTTCTCTTGTTTAAATCACCTGCTTTGTGGTACTTTGTTATAAAAACCCTGGAAAACTAATACATGTGGAAAGGAATTTTGTCTTTTTTGTTCACCTATGTATCCCAAACAATAGTATGACGCCTGGCATATAGTTGGTTTTTAATAACTATTTGCCGAGTGAATTTATAAATAAAGTGGATTAATAAGATTCTTTTCTTTACATAACTCTATTAAATGGCACCAATGTTATATTAATGTAAGGTTTTCTTATGACTGAGAACTTTAATTCCGGTATTGTGGTGTTGCTGGGCTACTGCCACATCTCAATAGATAAAATCTTCTAGTGAAACTCTTATGATGATTCAAAAGGAGATGACAAAAGTTTTAATGACATAGGAGATCAAGGTGTAGGCAAACTGGGTGGGGAAGTTAATTAGCCTGAGAACATGCATGGAACACTTCCCCAAAACCCTTCCTGTGGACTTCCATGGGGAACTCGACAGGTTTTCAGTATAGTGGCCTAGATGTGCATGGTCAGCCTGAGGCATGAGATCCTAGCACTGCTTCTCAGGCCTGTAAGTAAAAGGTTTTGCAGGTTTCCTCAAGATTTGGACAGTATAAAAAGACACGGATGCCAAGAAGAGCTTGCCATTATGGCTTTCTCAGGACAGCCTGCTCTGCTTCCTCTAGGGGGTACTTTTGTCTTACTTTTCCCTTTTTTACTCAGCCCAGACTCCTCTGCAGAGCCCATTTCTTCCTCATCACTTTCACTTTCTCAAATAAATTTGTTCACTGCTTTTTGCTCATTCCATTCAATTCTTTGTTTGAGATGAGAAGAATGTAGAATCTTAACTCCAGAAAGAGAGGCAAGCAACCCAAAACCCAGTAACATTTAATTGGCGAGCCACTTTTAGAAGGTGCTACCTGATAACAGTAATGCAACGAATGCAAATTAATCCATACAAAGAAACATCAAATTTATTAATCCCATCCTGAGCAGAATGGCACGAATTTATAACATGGTTATTCCCACAATGTATCTGATTAGCTGGCTTCATTAAAGACATTAGGAAAAGCCTGGCTTATCAATTTAAAGAAAAAAACGTTAAAATCTTTCCTGTTGCTCTTACTGAAGCATTTCTTCAGGCATAAGAAAAAAACTAATTGAATTCCCTTCTGATGTATTCGATTACGGATTCAAGGCATATCCTTTCAACCCCCATCTCCACATCTTAATGTCATCACTGTCATCACCAACTGGTATTTCACTTGGGCCTGGAATTACCTCTAGAACTGACGCAATCTAAAACCAGTGCCTCTAAGTGTTTACTAAAATCTTTGTCCCAGAGGGAGAGGTTCAGAAGTGACGCTGTTGGGACTGCCTTGAGACTTGAGCTAACATAGCAGGGAGGCTTACAGACATTAAATTCACCTTGAAATATTATTTATTATTTTCCAGCAAAAGTAAAACCTAATACTCTTTTTTTTTTTTTTTTTTTTTTTTTTTTTTTTTTTTTTTTGCAGTATGCAATCTGTGACCAAGTCCTCTTCTAATAAAGAGTTTAGTTTCTTGGGCACTTGCCCCTCTTTTCCTGGGAACCACAGCATAAACAGGAAGTTCATGCCTCTGGATCTTCTTCAAGTTAGAATGGAAAAAATGAAGCTGTGGACTTTGTCTAGAACGATTTTTATTTGCTTGGTTTTTTTGCTCTTTTTAAGCAGGGTCTTACTATCTGTTCAGAGTGGCCTTCAACTTGTGGTAACCATCCTGCCTCAGCCTCCCAAGTGCTGGGAATAAAGGTGTGTTTTACCACACTCGGCTAAAATGATTTTTGCAAAGAAGGATCATTAAATTGCTGTACTGCCCTCTTTGCCTTCTGCAGAAGGTTAATAAATGTGACTGCATGAGCTGTATACCACTCCAAGGAATATAAACATTTCTTTGCCCATGTTGCATTGGAAGTCCCTGTCAGAGCGCTGAATCAGGCTTTTATCAAACACTAGACAGAGCCTGTCCTTTCAAGCATTATAAGATGGTTTTCAAAAATGTGGTTTTCAGCCACCCCCAACCAAGAAGTCAAAGTTTGGAAAGGCTTCCGATTGGCTTTTCCCTCGCCAAGACTTGCCGCCCTGCTGCCTCTCCTGTCTCGGTTGCCCAGGCTGGTTTCTTTCCATTTTCCTGGCAATAGCTCAAGGCTACCTCCTTATAGAATCCGTCTTCACTTGACTCCCTAAACAAAGTGGAGACCCTCTGCTATTTCCTTGGTAGCAACCCTGGAGAGGCTCAGTGCTGCGTTGGCCTGTTTATGGGTTCCTGCGCCCCAACAGTGACCACACCTGCACCACAGGCCAGGGGCTCCTTTTTGGACTTTTATCTTAATACAGCTCGCTGTATACGCCTCACTCATAAACGCACCTCGCTCGAATTTTTTCACTTTGGCTGGAAGGCGGACCGTGGGTGGCCTCTCCTCTCACACGGATGGTTCATTCCTCACTGTGCCCAAGTTTGTGGACCCCACAGGTCATTGATCTCTCCACATTCCCTCGCCCACAGGAGGCTCCTTACTCCAATTGCATTTCCCTTACTTGCACCTTTTTTTCACCGTCCCAACGGCCGCTACCCCCCCCCCACACCCCCGTCCCGCATCCCACGCCTGGGGCACTAAGCTCCTAGATGCCTGCGCTGCCAGGGACCCCAGACCTAGTTCCGGGCCCAGAGCCGCTCAGGCCACGCCCCTCGGCCGTCCGCAGAGCTGGAGACCGCGCTGGAGCTGTCTAAGGGGCGGGGCCAACGGCGAAAGTGCCTCAAAGCCTGGCACCTACTGGTCGAGACTCCAGGGCGTGTCCTCGGAGGGGCGGGGCGAGGCTGCAGTTTGGCTCTAGGGCTGCCTGTCCGCTGGCCGCACTCCCACGTTCCCCAGGCTGCTGCTTCAGTGACTGTGACTGAAGAGTGGGACTCTGCGCAGCATGGAGAAGCGGTACACAGACGACGCCCAAGCCCGGCGGCTGCCTGACACCCTCAAGGGTGAGTCTCCTGCCCTGGGCAAGGCCACAGCGTGGCTCGCCGCCCCTTGACCCTCCCTTCTCTGGGGTCCGCGGGGTGACAGAACCGTGCCTCTGTTCCTTTGAGCTGCCAGAGCGCTTCCCAGAACCATCGTTGTCTCTCTCAAACCTCATTTCGCAGGCTAGGGGTCACGACATCGGGGCTGTGGGTGCAAAGGGCGCATGGTGGGCGCTCCGAGGGCAGGGGCCGTGCCCAGTACTCAGGAGAGTGCCAGGACTCGCGTTATCCCGCGTCACCAGATGCCCGGCCGGGAGCCAGAGCTTCCTTATCTCCTGACATCCACGAGGGCGAGGAAACACATAAGTCACTGGCAGCCAGTGAATGGTGCAGGCGGAGTCCTGTTTCCTCTCCCACTCCCCTCTGTTCCCCTCCCGTCCCCTCGGAGGCCATCTCCTCCACTCAGCCTTAGCCATCCCGAGGGGTAAGCCCCCTCCTCGGACCTGGAAAGAACCCCTTCCCCTCCACTACCATCCCCCGCTAGGGAACCTGATACAGGACCCAAGGAAGGAAGTCTGTCTTGGGCATGCTTCCCCTCTTTCTGCTCCATTCTTTCTCCTCTTCTGCTCTGTCTTAGGCAGTTCTCCTTCAGGGCTTTTGTCCCTTAGGAAGACTTCTGAGTTCCTCTACGATCACCACCCTACTGGGTCCTTCTCGGTCTTGAGCCACTATGAGTGACTCAATCTTGTTTCCCTGTGAAGAAACTAGCGTCCTTAAGAGAATACCACCTTGAGATTTTATTGGCCAACTCTTCAGGGTGGGGTAAGAGAGGTGACATCCTCATCCTCCCTCAGGAGTATTGCTGTCCTCTCAGAGCTCTCAGTGATCCAAAGGAATTATTTCTAAAGATGAAATTTCACTGAGCTTGGTGTAGTGGTGCACACCTTAATCCCAGGATTCAGGAGGCTGAGGCAGGAGGATTGCTGCAAGTTTGAGGCCTGCCTGGGCTACAAAGTGACTTCAGGGTCAGCCTGTACTGCACAGCAAAACACTGTCTCAAAACAAAAACAAACAAACAAAAAACCATGGAATTTCAGAAATGATGACAGAGAAAGAAATTTAGAGTACTGGTGGACTTTCCCAGCAGCTCTCAAAGTTATCTATTGTGATTATTTGTTCAGCCAGCCTTAGGATTCCTGCCTTTTTCCTTCACAGCTCAACAGAGTTTTAAAGGCTGGGGATATAATTTAGTGGTTGCTGAGTACTTGGTTGCCTAGCATGTGTGTGACCCCTGGATGAATTCAATCCCCAGCAATGCAAAACAAAACAAAACAAAATACAACAAAACAACCCAAAAAACCCAACCAAATAAAACCAATTATGTGTGTGTGTGTGTGAGTGTGTGTGTATTTCTCTTTTTCCATTAAACACCTTGGAGAGTTGTCTCCTCAAATTAGAGTATAATAGCAAGAAGTAATACTTGTGTTTTCCTAGATTAAAAAAAGCAGAGAAAAAAGATTGTTTTCCTCTATACCCTAACCCTCCTGCTGGGAAACTGGTGTTGAAGATCACTCTGGAGTTCTTTGGAAATAAATATGATTTTTGTACTTAAATGTTTGTTATCATCACAGACTAGTTTTTTAACTTCTAAATTCTTTTTTGAGGTTCTACACTTAGTCTTTTTTTAAAGATAGAAATCTTTTAAGAAACTAGTGAAAATGAATGCACTTTCTCCTCTGAAAGTATACATACAAATGGAATTTGCTTGATCTGTGTTATTGTGTATGCATATGTGTGTGTAAAGCCTAGAATATATTGAATAGACTTTCTAGAATACTTGTTGTATGCCAAACACAGCCTCAGTGCTCATTATCTTTTGAATGCTGTCATCTGTCAGATACAGCTTAAGTGCTTTATGTTTATCTAATTGCAAGGCTGCAACAAGTCCACATGGGAAATGTCATTATTTCCATTTTACCAAAAGGATGCTGAAGGTCAGAGTAATAAAAATCAGACACAGGTTATAAGATTTAGAGCCAGGTTGCAAACCCAGGCTCTCTGGTTTTCCAATCTGTTGTGTCTATCTTAGAGACTCCAACTTGAGTACTTTGCTGAAGGTCAGTAGCCAAAGAAAACCCAGCAGAAGCTTGCATCAGTCAAGACCTCTTGGGTATGGCAGCTTGCAGGCATTGCTTCTGCAAGAAACAGTGGAATGACAAGAAAGCCCACACTCTTTATATCATTACTAAGAATTCTTCCTAGGTAGGTAAACAGAATCAAACCTAGAATATGACTCATTTTTCCTAAAGCTGGTACATTCACTTTATAATGAAATAATGCAGGTGAATCACAAAAAGAAGTGTCATGATAATTAAAATCCATGTCAACAGGATAAATCCCTTTGGGAGAATCTCAGAAAATAAGCAGGATCATGGGACTGATTTGTTTATTTCAGTTGTTACAGGCTGATCAAATGGGGAAGAACTTTGTAGCTTCTTTAGTAATTAATCTGAGCGAAACCATCTTTGGTCATATATTACCTGAAATCAGAGGGCAAAACTACAAAAGCTGTCATTTGTGTATTTTTTTATGATTATAAGTAGATTTTTGGTGTCAACTGATAAATTTTATGCTAGAAAAGATAGTCACATTTGAAGAAAAATTTAAAGATGTTGATAAAGTGATAAAATAGGATTCAGGCTGATAAAATAGGATTCAGGCAAAACAAGAATCTTTTGTTTCATTTCATTTTTTTTTTCATTTCATTTCATTTTGCTTCATCTTTTTGAGACAGGGTTTCACTTTATAATTCAGGCTAGCCTTGAATTCACTTTGCAGCCCAGGATGGCCTTGAACTCATGGTGATCCTCCTGCCTCAGTTTCCCTAGTGCTGGGATTACAGGCATGTGCCACTATACCCAGCTCTTAAAAATCTGTTTTTAAAGACAGCATGGGCTGGATCCTGTGGCTCACACCTGTGATTCTAGCACTCAAGAGGCTGAGACAGGAAGATCAGAAGTTCAAGGCCATCTTGCCAGCTTCGTAAAACTCTTCTTTAAAATGAAAAACAAATTCTAAAGGGCTGGGGGTAGTTCAGTGGTAGAGCACTTGCCACGCATGTGTGAGATCCCCTGGTACTGCAAAAAAGTAGGAGGAACTAGAAGGGTGCAGTGGCATAGAGAAGGAGAAACAAGCAAGGAAAAGCAATTTTCTGAAAATTGTTAGCGTATTAGCCTGTGCATACCTCTGTCACAATGTTTATTACATAGTATTATGATTACCAGCTTCATTTATCCATTATTCTCCACCCTTTTGGACCAGGAGAGCTTTAGAAAACAAAGATCCCTCCTCATTGTAATAGCAATATTAAATATATGAAAGAAAAAGGAAGTTAGAAAGGGAATAAATCGTATCATGAAATGGTTGTGAAATGTCCATTGGCAGCTTATTTTATTGTTTTTGTAACCCCAACTGTTGATTTTAAACATAACAATCACATTCCTTATTACATACTCTTACTATATAGACTGTTTATCTGAGTTTACATTATCAAGAAAGAAACTACAATTGCCAAGATAATATGTTATAATATGAGAAATCTCATTTATGAAAATAGAGAAGGTAGAGATCTGAGCAATAGAAAGAATCGTGTCTTTATTTCCTCCTGATACATGCATTCACTCCGGTTTTTTCTATACATATCTTTGTGCTCTGGAACTGTTCAAGAAATGTGAACCCCAAGCTTTCGCCTTGATGCTTTATTTGCTTAGCCTTGATGATAAGACCAAGAAAACATCCTCCTTAAAGCACCCCGCAATAAAGATGATGCCATACTTGACCCCTGGAGTGAGCCCCTGTGGGAAGATAGTGTTATGTAGTGAAATGATGTAGAATTTAGAATGACAAGCTCTAGCTCGATCTCAGGGCCATCACTTCATACCTGGGTCACTTTAGGCAGATCTGCATATCCAGAGAATCAGTTCCTCAGCTGTACATTGGGCATAACCTTCTAGGACCTTCAAACAGAACGCTATATTTGGAGTATTACTCAGCCTAGTCATTTTCTAGTAAATTGGAATTTATGGGTGAGTATAAAAGGTTTATATGATGTATGACTTAACAACATTTAGAGCTCTAACTTATCCCCCCACCACAACATACCAAATGTGATCTGTCTCCTCTAGAGACAGAGTCCCTGGACAGATTGTTAGTCTTGGTATTTTCTCCATGGTGCGCAGGTCTCAGAAGGCAATTCATGTACTTAAAACTTTATTGCCATGTAACATATCAATAATGATCTTAAAATTGTAGTAATAATAGCTACTATTTGTTGAACACTAAGCATCAAGCATGAAAGAACTAAAATATAGTATTTTATTCTATTTTCATGTTTTTCTGGCCTAGTCTGATTTAAATAAACTTGATATCCGTGATAAAATTGTCTTTTTCTCTTCAACTTTCTGAACAGAAATGTTTTTATATTTCTATACATGGACCGTGGTCAGCCCAGCTTCCCCACTTCCTGAATTCTCTAACCTTATAGTTAGGAAAGGCCTGATTTGTCTCTTTTCTTTTCTTTTCTTTTCTTTTCTTTTCTTTTCTTTTCTTTTCTTTTCTTTTCTTTTCTTTTAGGATGAGCACAAGTTTTCAACGACTTTGGGACAGAGGGTGATTCCAAGCTGTGCTGTTGGACCTTTTGTGCTGACATATACAGTAGTTTCAGTTTGTCTTATGTAACAGATGATCTTTTCCCTTTCCCAAAGAAACTGCAGACTCACTCCACTCATTTAACCCATTTAGCAGTGGTGTATGGAGTACCTAAGAATCTTGCAAAGTTAGTTTCACTACTCATCCGCTTACCCTCTGCGGACTCCCCCGCTCCCATTGACCTTACTTACAGATCCACAAACTGAGTTATAGAGCAGTAAGGTGCTTTCCTGAGATCACACAGTGCATGGCAAAGCCAACCCTAAGTCCTTGTGCTATGTGTTCTCATAAAGAGAACACATTTTGAATAAGACAAGATTATAAGTGTGATAAGTTTTAAGTAAGGTAAAGTGCAGCTTAGAAGAAGGAGAGCTAAGACTCAGAGGTCCAAATATTAAAAGGTATGGAAAACCTTCAGGAAATATATGGGAAATAAAACATTTATGCATATTCAGTCTCGGGTGTTTGTTGTTGTTAATTTTTGGTGAGATTTGGGGGGGCTTGTTTTCTTTTGTTTTGTTGGTCTTTATGAGACAGAGTTTCGCTGTGCAGTTCAGGCTCGCCTTGAGCTCATTTTGTAGCCCAGGCTGATCTTGAACTCACAACAATCTCCTGCCTCAGCCTCCTGAGTGTTGGAATTGCAGGCGTCACCACCATGCCTGATTCTCAGTCTCATTATTTTTGAGCTAAGCAAAGAATTCCCTTTATTTCAATTTTTACTGAAAAATCGTTCAAAAAGGATTTGGGTTTGGTGTAAGCTGGTGTAAACTTCAAAGTCCATTTCCTTTCTGTAATATTCCATGGTAAACACAGGTGAAACTTTATGGCTCAGTTCATGTACCGCTCTATCAGTACGAGCTCTTTGGATTGCAGTGAGAGTGTGGATGGTTTCCGGTAGAGAAGAAAAGGTACTGTAGTGTCTTTCAGTCAGGGATTTTCCATTGCTGCCTTCTGGTCTGAAGCCACTCCAGCCCAGAAAATAATTTCTTACAGATTGAAGGATTAGGGACCCTAATAACCAGAAACTGCCTAATTAAAATAGTGGAAAGACCGGTCCTAATATGCTTATTTACTTTGAAGTCCTCTGCCTCTGTGAATTTCAAGTTTTGGTTTCCAGTTAACCACCATTTTGTCAGCCTGTGTCCTTACTGAGACCCTGCTGGGTGCTAACTCTGTTTTTCGCTCCAGCCCTTTTGGTTTGTAGGGTGCTGCATTTATTTCTGCTTCTCTCTTTTTCCCTTCTTTCTCTGTTTCCATCTCTTCTGCCCTTTTTTCCCCTTGTTTGTCATTCTCCTAAAATTTCCATATGAAAATGACCCTTTTGCACATTATCATTTTGAGATTTTATAAAGGCCTTGTTTTAGGACAAGTAAAGAGGAACTGAGAAGCTAGGAAATGTGTCCCTATTTGAGTAGTTGGAAGAAAGATTTAAGAGAGAATCTCCTTCCTCAAATAAATCCCTGTACGTCCTACTACAAGGACAGGGACTATAGCTGCCCATGGGGCTAAATCTGTCCAACTGCCCATTTTCCAATGGCCCAGAGCTATGAGTAGTTTTACAGTAAAAATTTTTTTTAAAAAAAATAATGTCTCACATTACACATGTAAGTTGGATTTTATGGTTCCCGTAATTGAGTTTTATTGGAACACAGCCATACTCTGTGTACACTGTCTGTGGCCACTTCACTGCACTAGCACAGTTTGCTGTCTGGCCCATTATGGGGAAAGTCTGCCAAACCCTGACATAGAATATCTTATGTGGAATAATGATGGCCAAAGGAACATTTCTATCCTGGTTATAATGGCTTTTAAGAAGAAAATGGACAAGGTCTTGTGTATTGGCCCCTTTAAAAAGTGCTGTTGGGCCCAGGTGACCTGTGCTTTTGAGGTCCTCTCTGTCTCCACTCAGACCTTGTTTTTTTCCTGGCAGCTTACACCAAACCCAGTGAAAGGGGAGGGGAAAATGATGACCTGTAAGCGTTAGATTATTTCAGTAACTCTTAGCCCCTCCGTTTTTTTGGGGGGACGGCACTATTATGTGGCTCTGAGTCACATTTTTAGATATAATTTAAGACATGTTTCTGGCTTTTCTCTGCAGAGAAAGCGCAATAGTATTTGAACTTTAGAGTTTGGTCTCAGTGATGAATGGGCTGTGTTATGCCATGTGATTTCCAGTCATGCCAAGTTCAATAAATCTTACAGTGAACCAGCTGGTAAGGATGGGTAATGACCTCTGAACACCGGCCTCAGTTAGGATCTTGGAAAGAATGTGTTACTGCTTTATCTAAAGGTGACCCAACAAAAAGTACAGTTCCTGTACAGTTCCTCTTTTTTTATGTTTTATGGTTTGGATTTGTTTTCTTGTATTTTTTTCCAGATCTTTTGCATTATTACTTTGGGTCTTCGGGAAGAATATTTTATGTCTTCAGACTTTTGTAAACATTAGAAATAGAATATATAAGGAGTCAACATGTGTTGGCATTCGGTAAATGATAGTGATCGTAAAGTGAAATGAGAGAAGTTTAAAATTGTATACTTTTGGGGCTGGGGATTTAGCTCAGCGGCATAAGCGCCTGCCTTGCAAGCAGGCAGTCATGAGTTCGATCCCCAGTACCGATAAGAAAGAAAGAAAATTGTATACTTTCGTCTGTTTAGGAAATTAATTTTCATGACACGATAAGAAGGATTTACCAAAACTTTGCTGAAAATATATTTAATGCAGTACTTTCTAATTGAGAAATTTAGATTCAACCTAAATCATTAATAATGATAAAGAATATATTGACATGAAAAGTTGTTTACAGTATGAGGGGAACATTTTAAATAATTATGTATGCATTATTAAATTTGGAGGGAAAACAGGATACAATATGTTTAAAGAAAAAAAAAGCTGGGCATTCATTATCACTCTAAAGCAAAGTACAGGGCAAAAGAAATAGGAGATGTTTAATAAATGTTTCCTGAAGAAATTAATTTGTAATGTTGGGCAGTACTTGTGTAAGTAGACCAAGGAAAATAGCGGCTGCACTTCAGGGTTGAGTGGGGACTGGATGGGAAAGTGCACCTGAAGGAGCCGGCATAAAACCGGACACGTATCTCTTCAGCAAATAGTGGGAATGAAGGCAAGGATCATGCTAATGCCATGCTAAGCGTTGCTGGTTTTTGTTTTCAGAAGATTCCTCCCGCACGGGTCTTGGAATTTGTGGATGGATTTTGGTGGCTGTCTCATTCCTATTCACACTTGTAACTTTCCCAATATCGATATGGATGTGCATAAAGGTAAAGAACATTTCACTCACTTCTGGAAGGGGTCAGCTCCTGCCTCCATAAGCCCACTTGGTGTATGAGGGAGACAGAGAGAAACCATACTTAGCCTGCAATTCTTTTTCCTTTATCTTCTTTTTTTTTGAACTTCCATGCTACTTACCATTTAGAATGGTAACTGGCTTTTTAGCCATTATCCGATCAATCCTTCTCCATGGATTAAAATAGGATCACCATTTAAAAATTTCTGGGACCTTGCAAGCAGGCAGTCGTGAGTTCGATCCCTGGTACTGATAAAAAGGAAAAAGAAAAAAAAAATTTCTGGGAGTCAGGTATAGTAGTGGCACACGCCTGTAATCTCAGCACTCAGGAAGCTGAGGCAAGGGGATTGCCTTGAGTCCAAGGCCAGCCTAGGCTACGTAGTGAGTCCAGGCCAGTCTGAACTACATATCGAGACCCTGTCTCAAAAAATTTTATCTAGGCTGAGGATGTGAGATGGTCTCCCAAGAACAGGTTTCCCAGAATTAGGATGGCAAGGTTTGCCTACTGGCTCTGCTTCTTACCATATGACTTTGACCATGTTTCCAAATTTGTAAGATGGGAAAAATAATGTTCCTACTTCATAGGGCTGCTGTGAGGATTAAATGAAAGGTGCATAGATGACTTATTGCAATGCCTGACCCACAATAAATTCTGCCATATGCTGGTTATTTTCTCTATAGTTAATAGTATTTGGATAAATAGCTATGGTTTGTATATTCCTAAAAGGATAAAATATGCTTCAGCCATTTTTGCATGAATTTGTTATAATTAAAAGAGTCAGAAGAAGCCAGGCAAGCCAGAGGCTCTCAAGTGCAAGCTCAATCCTTAGGCATCTTGGCAAATTAGCCAGACCCTGTCTCTAAATAAAAAATAAGGAAAGGGCTGGAAATGTAGCCAGTGCAAAGGCCCTGAGTTCAATCCCCATTTCAAGCAAATAAATAAAGAAAGAATCAGAAGGAAAACTGAGGTTTTCTCATAAATAAGTAATATATGAATGTAAATAAGTAATGCATGAGTAATACTAACAATTGAGGAGTGAGGTCTTGGATTTCTGTATGCTATTCTATACTTTCCAAATTTATACAGTGAATATCTATTGCTTTTATAATCAGCCAAAACCTAGTAAACAAATATCATGTTTGGAAGGGATAAACATTGGACATAGCATTTATAGATAATATCTGGATATAGAGGAAAAATATGGAAAAAATATTATTTGACTATGAGGCATCTAATCTATTTAGAAGAAAAGCATTTAGGCTACGCCTGCCTGTAAATGTTGGTGCTCTTCCTGTTGTCATTTATGTCTTTCTTCCAGATTATAAAGGAGTACGAGAGAGCCATCATCTTTAGACTGGGCCGCATTGTACAAGGAGGAGCCAAAGGACCTGGTGAGTGCTGGGGCAGGAGGTTGCCCACTTAGACACTGAAATTCTTTTCTCTTGTGCCAGGCTCTGCTCTGGTACTTGGAAAGAGTTCATGGAGCAGAAGTTGTATAAAAATAGTGGAGGTTCCAGCTGATCTCACTACTGATCCCCTTCCCTTCCCACCCCTCCCCTTTCCTTTCCATTCCAGCTGATAAGATTGTCTCCCCCAGGAATAGCCACAGCTTTGCAAATGGGAGCATGAGAACCCCTGGCAAGGAAAGGCCTTTAGCTATTCATTTGACAAACTTCAACCGAACTGCTACTGTGTTCTAGGCCTTGGGAATTTAAGAGAGACCAGAATAGCTCCTTCCCTGGAGGATCTTGACACCAACAAGGTGTCCCATTGTTCTTGCCACTTTCTGAAGCACTTGCAGAAAGTCCTCTTTTTTGGTGTCCTTAGTTGTGCTGTTGTGGCTGCCTCAGTATCCTGAATCAATCCAAAATGTTTACTTTCCATATCATGTTGACATTTGGGAAGACCCAGAAGTCAAATGGTGCCAGGTCAGATGAGTGAGCTGGATGAGGACTCAGCACAGTGTTTTTACCTGTTTGCTTTTCCATTCAGTGGCGCTCAGCAGTAACACCCACCTCTTGATAGTGATAGTTTTGATCACACCTCTTGAAGGATTCTAGACCTGAGTCCAAAAATGATGGAATAAATGTGTTCAACAAAGGGGGAAGTATTTTGAGGAGATCAATAGCAGTATGTCTTTTGATGTAAGAATTTCAAAAAATGTAAACATTCACTGTGTGTTACAATCATATCTAGTGCATTGTAGGGACGCGTACTGTGACTGAGTAACCACATAGGCCAGAGAAGCAAGAAACTCACAGATGTGTGACTGACCTAGACCGTAGATGAGTAGATGAGACAAGGCTCCTGGGAATGACTTCCCAGCCGAGTCTTGAGTAAAGGAAGGTGGTAACCACAGGCAGGCAGTCTCAACTCAAATGACAACCTGTACAAAGCATTGTAGGGAGAGCATTGTGGATTGAGGGATCTTCAGTCCAGTGCGAGCAAGGGTATGAGGACAGAGGCTGTGACGGAACAGGTGAGCTAGGTGAGTTTTTCAGGACCATGGTAGGCAAGGCTCCAGTCTCTTAGGGAAGCGTCCTGTGCTTGCAGCATAGCAAGTGAGGCATAGGAGAGAAGCTGGAAGCAATTGCACGGGCCTGAGTGAAGGAAGAAAAGTGACAAGAACAGTGGCATAAGGAAATGAATGCCGTGGGGCCTTGGTGGAAACTTTCGAGAGGAGTAAGCAAGCGAGAGGAGTGAGGATGACTTTCCAAGCTTTCAGCTCTGCAGTTGGTAACTTTGGTGAACTGAGTGGATTCCATGAGAACTGCTGGGAAAGGGAGCAGAGACTCCATGTCTGTTTGACCCCGTGTTTTTTTGTTGCAGGCTTGTTTTTTATTCTGCCTTGCACTGACAGCTTCATCAAAGTGGACATGAGGACCATTTCCTTTGACATTCCTCCTCAGGAGGTGAGCTTTACTTTCCTTTTTCTTTTCTTTTTTTTTTTTTTTATTTTAAAGAGGATAAAGCCAAGGAAAATAAAACAGAATAAAACCAATCAAAATAAACCAGTAGAAGTGATACAGGACTTCAAAACGCTGCAAAATCAGCAATAGTTACCATAATGTCTTTTGTTGTCTTCAAAATAGCTGCAGATATCTTTGGACATAGCAAAAACCAAACAGAACAGCATAGATTAGAAAGAATAAAAACAAAACAATGAATGCAAAAAAGAAACCAATAGTAAATCTAAAATGGCTACCATAATATGTCTTGCTGTCTCTTAAATAGCTGCTCATGTCATCAGAGTTAACATAAACAAACAAAAGTGAAGACAATAAAACCCAACTCAACTAAACAATGAAAATGATGATTTCCAGGCAAGGATCACTTCCTGGTGAGGCCTGGTTCTCTCGCTCTGTAGTCCAGTGAATGGCGCTGAATCATGGAGAGCCTTGGGTCTGGCTCAGTGAGCTGAGGGATCCTCTGTGAACACTGAAAAGGGAGACACTTTGGCCCTACCCTGCCCCTTGCTCCCCACCCCTTCCCCTCTCCCCACTGCCCCTCTCTGCCCTGCCTTTTAAGACAAAGTCTCACTATGTAGTCCAGGCTGGCTCAAACTCACAGTGACTCCCCTGCCTCACCCTCCTGAGTGCCGGGATTTCAGGTGTAGACCACCACTGTTAGCTTTGAAAAGGAGGACACTTTTGAACCTGAATCCCTTCTCCTTTCCCAGTTCCATGACTCTGGGGAAGAGCTTGGCCTCCTCTGTGCCTCAGCTACTTTCTTACTATTAAACAGAGGTTGTAATAGCAGGACCTACCTCACGGGATTCCAGGAGGAATAAATGAGACATCACATGCGAAGTGCCTAGGACAGTGCCTGATGAGTGCTGCATGAATGCTGGCTGCTGTGACAACAGAGTGGACTGTACAGCCAGTGGGAGAGGAGCCTTAGCATCCCCACTGCAGTCACCATCACTATTTTTGCTACAACGTTCTCCTCAGTGGGTTTTAGAAAGAAGATGCTATTTATTTAGATCAATAGTTGAGATGTCATTATTGAAACTACTCATTTGGCATTTTAGACATATTCATCAGTATTTTGTGCTTTGTTTTTTTCTGGCAACTTCATAAATATTGTCCCAGTTGAAAACCATAGCAGAATCTGTAGAAAATAAACGGAGTTGCAATAAAATGAGATAATTCCTCAAACTGTAAAGGCAAAGCCAGAACAGAAATTCAGCTCTTCCAAATCCTGTCCAGTGCTTTTTGCCCAAGCTCCCTGCTAACTGCAACCTGCATTTGCTCCATCATAGCCCTGAAGAGGATCGCAGCCCATGCCTTAAAAGACAAAATAACCACTGCAGGTAGAAAACCTCTATGTGTAATGAAGGGAAGGAGGAAAGAACAGTCTGGGTTTCCTGGCTATCTCCCAGGTTCTCAGCATGATGGGGAAAATGGCCAGGTTGCTTTCTCTTGTCACAAAATCCAGAACTAGCCCAGGAACTCCCTTCCTGGTACAGATCCAAGTAGTTGCTGAGGTCAGACTTTCCAAGCCTCACAACTGTAGAGATGCCAGAAATCATTTTTACCCTTGTCTTACAAGGGCAAGTCTGAGAGTGTCCCTGTATTCTCTGCAAGTTTTCCCATCTTTCATGAGAAAGATGGCTTCCTGAAGGAGCCCCTTTCTTGGAGTTGCTTTGAATTCTGACCAATTTCCATGTAAACATCGCAGGCATCTGGCAGGGCTGCTGTGAGCTTCTCCCTTCTAGCCGCTCCCTCCTCCCCTGCAAGCTGCTGAACAACGCAGAGCAGATTGGAACTTGGCAAGCAGTCCTTTTCCTGATCCCCTGTGAACTCGCTGTGAAGGGAGATAAACACTCTGCCTCCAAAACAGTGTGTGAGACGCTGCAGCTTTGCAAGCAGCTGTGGCAGAGTCACAGTGACAGGAATCCAGCCCCGGAGTGACACTCATTTTCCCACCACATCCTGGGAATAATTTTCACACAAGATGGTAATAGACTGTACATTTATTTACAAGTCCCCTGCTTCTCTTTCTTGTTAAAGATATTTTTAGATTGCTAAAGAGAGAGGAAAAACAAGACAATGACTGTTTTTATGCCTGATAGAACTAAATAGCTAAAGTGTTGTTTACATGCCTTCCGTTCACATGACTCAGTTCTTTTTGCAAAAGACTTTGTTTGCACATTGCACAAAGGTCTTTTAAATTGATCTGCACAGAAATTTGGGGAGAATTGGGCAGTATTGTTAGTCCCATCTCAGAAATGAAGGACCACCAGGTCCCATGAGCAGAGTCGAAAGTCTCTGCCTGAGGTCCCCCAGAGGGAACAAGCAGAACTGGAAATAGAGTCTGGGTCTCTGACTCCCCTCCACCCTTCATCAGCCACTCCTGCTGGGATCTCATTTTTCATTCATTTCACCTCTCACTTATTAATCACCTGCTGTGTATCAAGCCCTCAGCCATTGCTGGAGATACAAAGACAAACTGCCCCTAAGAAGGTCATAGACTGAAAGAGAAGTAGAGCTGTCAACAAAAGATGTCACAGCCCCGAGGTACAGCGCGTGTGCAAAGGAAGACTGCCTGAGTCTGTTGAGTGAGGCAGGGGTGTTTCACAGAGGAAAGATGCATGAGCGATGCGTAGCAATGTGCTAGTTTCCTGTTAGGAGCCAGGAGATTTCAGGTGGAGTCAGGGCTGGTATAAAGGCCTGAGGGATGATCGCAGAGCAGGAGGAGACCCACATGTGGCCAAGCACAGAATGTGGGTAGGAGTTGGGAGAACGAGGCCAGAGGTACTGCAAGGCCAGATATCAATGGACTTTGTCTAGAAAGTGGCAGGAAGCCACTGGAGCATGTTAGTCAAGGGTTGCTGACTTTGGACTTAAGATCGTGTAAGCCCAGGTGCTTCTTGACTTGTGAGGAAGTTAAGTACTGATAAACCCACAGTAAGGTGAAAATAGCATTAAACCAAAAATTCATTTAATGCATCAACTCCACCAAACATTGGTGATTTCACAACACAGGCACTGTGGAGTGGCCTTTGTTTCTCCTCAGTCTCGGGGCTGACTGGGAACTGACGCTTACTGCTGCTGCCCAGCATCATAAGAAAGAAATCACTGCATACTGCTAGCCTGGCAAGAGGCCACACAATTCAGAAGGTGGAGTTGAGTATCTACTGACAGTGAATTGATTTCGGATCATCATGAAGTCAGATGCTATCTTTGAGTCAGGAACCACCTATCTGTACAGGACATGAATTAGAAACAAAGTGAAGTAGTTTTTTTTTTTTAAAGAATTATGTAAATTAACTCATTACAGTTAATAGGATCAGTGTTTTACTTAATACAATTAATGCCATTGTCTGAAAAGAAAAATAATAAAAGATGGCTCTTTTCGGGTGGGGGTAAGCTGGAGATGAAACCTAGGGCTTTTGCACAGAGTTATATCCTCAGCACCTTTTTATTTTTTATTTTGAGACAGAGTCTTGCTAAGTTGCCCCACCTGGGCTTGAGTTTACAATCCTCTTACCTCAGCCTCCCAGAGTGCTGGGGTTGCAGGTACGCACTGCCATGCTCAGTTTAAAGATAGCTCTTGTTGTGTGTCAAGCACTATTTTCAACACTTAAATGTGTTAACTTATTATTTCAACAACATCCTTGTAATACTGGTACTATTATTCAACTCTACAGATGAGGAAACTGAGCCCCAGAGAGGTTAAGTAATTTGTATTATTGCCTTCCTACTGTCTTGTGTCTCTCACTCAGGTAACTTTTAGTTCAATGTCGTGTTAAGCATTCTGATATAGCATGCCATGAATCTATTTTTTGCCTGACCTTGTCTTATAAAAACATTCCCATGCATTTTGTCCCAGTAGTACTGTGCTTTTTATAGTTTATGAACCCCAGCTCTCTCAAGGCTTTATTCCTTTATACACACAATCCTTTCTACCTTAAGTGCTGTCCACTCCACCCTCAAAGTATTTTATTCTTTTTCTCAAGATTCACTCAGGTCTCTCTCTGCTGATCTTAGCTACCCACCCACCTCTTGTCCCTTAAAAGGCTTTCTTGACTCCCTGACCTCCTTGGATGTAGAGACCAAAGTTTTTTCCTGCCTTTTTCCCAATACAATTTCTGCTAGTGAATGGCACTGAAAAATTTGCTGATTGAATGAGTCAATGCATTTAAAGAATTAATGAATCTGTTTTGTTGAATTTCTAAGGATAAAATTAACTTGCTGATGCCTTACTTAAGAAAAGCTACCAGCATTTAAAGCTAGTCTGTAGAATAGCAGTCCTGACAGCTGTGTGACAGAAAGCGGTCAGCAGACACCAAGTTGCTTCCCTCCTCTTTCAGGTCCTCACGAAGGACTCAGTGACAATCAGTGTGGATGGTGTGGTCTATTACCGCGTCCAGAACGCAACCCTGGCAGTGGCAAACATCACCAATGCCGACTCAGCGACCCGTCTTCTGGCACAAACTACTCTCAGGAATGTTCTGGGCACTAAGAACCTTTCCCAGATCCTCTCTGACAGGGAAGAAATTGCCCATAATATGCAGGTAAGAGATTCACCAGAAACTTAAGCAGAGTCATGGATGTTTGAGAACCTTTCATCCGTTCAAGTTGGGAATCTCTGGCCTGTTTTTCTCCTTAGGTTTTCCAGATTTGGTGGAAGGGGTGGAAGGGGTCACTGCTTGTCACCCTGACTGTTCATGAGTCCTTAACACTGAGATGCATGTTTTTAGTTTCCTCCAGTGTTTATTTTTCCCCACAACCAGTATGAGCCTTTTCAGTTCACAGAATCACATTCCGAGGCTGTTCTGCAAGACTGCAGATATTATCCAAGCCTTATTCTGTGTGTGAATCCTATGAATTCCCTTTTACCTGTTGTGCTTTCCAGTCTTGCTTCAGTAGTAGGTGTTTTAAGCCTGGCTCTGTCCACAAAGCTAAAGTGAATCCTTAAGTCTGAATCCCAACTGTTAGCAGAAACCTATTGCATGTAAAATCTATGATCTCACTTAATGTGCACCATGAGTTCACAATACAGTACAGTTTCCTTCCTGCCCTTGTAAACAGGAAAGTGAGACACAGAGAGGTAACATTCCTTACGCCGCATCACACTCACTTGCAATGCAGTCACTGTAGCCCTCAGGCTGGCTGTGCGCTTTTGCAGTAAACTTTCTCTGGAAGCCCCACACATCGCATGTGTTGACCTGTAGTAGCTGCGGCAGAGACTGCAAGTGAATGACATGCAGTTCCTGTACTGCCCTTTTGGAAGCTGGCCATTGGCTTCTAGGAGCAGATTCATGATCAGTTCCCCGTAACTCAGCTCTGGTCAGCCTGCTTCTCTGCCCCCTGTCTCAATGACTGCAGCCACCGTGGGCATCTGGGTGGGAGGTGACAGAGTGCTGCTCTCCTGCTGTCCCCTAACAGTGCACACTGGATGATGCCACTGACGACTGGGGAATAAAGGTGGAGCGAGTGGAAATTAAGGATGTGAAGCTCCCCACGCAGCTCCAGAGAGCTATGGCTGCAGAGGCAGAAGCATCCCGGGAGGCTCGAGCCAAGGTAATGTTTTCTCTTTGTTTTTCATTGTTGTTATTTTGTTTTGTTGGTCAAATTTTCTTTTTTAACCCCACAAAGCTCACTGAAAAAAATAAAACAAAACAAAAAACTGAAACAACCCTGAAGTGTTTAGTGAAGATGGAAGCTTTCCCCATCACTCTGAACCTGTTCCCTCGAGGTCACACTGTTTGTTTGTTTTTTGATTTGAAACAGGGTCTCACTATGTAGTTCGGGCTGGTTGGCTTTGAATTCACTTATGTAGTCCAGGCTGGCCTCAAACTCTTGGTGATCCTCCTGCCTCAGCCTCCCAAGTGCTGGGATTGCTGGCATGCACTACCACGTCCAGCACTCTTGACTGTTTAGTACACTTAAATGTTGTTTAAGTTGTTGGACAATTGGCTTGTTTTGCAAAAATAGTCACACCAACAGATTGTTGTACACCTTGCCCTTTTTATTTAATAGTTTACGGGCATAGCCCTGAAGGCATATTTGTTTAGATAATTTAGAAAAGAGGCCAGGATCATGCACCTGTAATCCCAGCACTTGGGAGCTTGAGGCAGGAGGATTGCCATGAATTCAAGGCCAGCCTGGTATCTACAGAGTGAGTTCAAGACCAGCCTGAACCACAAAGCAAGAATCTGTCTGAAAAAACAAAAAAGAAAAGGCTATCTTTTAAGGTGATAATGTACAAAAATACAGGGTTTTCTCACCAAACCCAAGAATAGGCAGTAGGCTCTAGCCTCACCAGAATTGCCCACCAGACCTGAACATAGTCAGGACTGAAAGGAACCACTCATTACCTTCCCTGGGCCAGGTCCACTTGCAGATAGTTTGTGGCCAATGACGTTCGACTCTCAAGGTCACACACTGTGCAGGCAAGCACCAAAGACACAGACCGGTCCTGACAACAAATTCGCGGAAAAGAGGTTTTCTTTGGTCCAACTTTGGTTCAAGGGCAAAGTTTAGTACTAACACAACCCCACACCCAACTCCTTGACAGCTGGAAGAAGAGAACGTGTGTGTATGTGTATGTATATGTGTGTGTGTGTGTCTGTGTGTGTGTGTGTGTGTGTGTGTGTGTGTGTGTGTGTTACTAGAGATTGGACACAGGACCTTTGTACTGAGATACATCCCCAGTCATTTTTTTTTTTTAACATTTTGAGCTGTAATCTCACTCAGTTGCCCAGGCTAGGCTCAAACTTGCCATCCTCTTGCCTCAGCCTCCCAGAGTGCTGGGATTACAGGCATGTGCCATCACACCCAGCAGAAGAGTTTTCATGGGATGGGTTGCTATAGCCTTGGCAGATCTCCCAGACATAAAGAACAAACCAATTTATCATCATTGGACAGAAGTAATAGCTGATGATAATTAGCTGACCACAAAACCCATTTTTTCCTAGAATGCTCTTTAAGCCACAATTGGTTAGTATAATTTCTTAATACTGAATAGAAGAGTAGCCATGACATGCCACCTCCAGAATCTTATGTTAACCAGAATTCTAAACTTTCCTAATATAATTATTGATGCTTGTGATAACCACATTATGATGCTACAGAATCCTCAAGTGTTTTCTTTAAAATCATCATTTTAGAAGACTCAGTTACAAAAAAAAAAGCCTCAGTTATATTTATGATAATGTTAGTAAATGTACCCTACTATCATCTGGTTATTTTAGAAAATTAAAGATTTTTTTTTTACCTAGACTCTATCGTGAACCAAAAGCCCCATTTCCAAACCATATAGCATGTAGAATTCCCGGGCATAGACTAGCAGAGTGTGAAAGATCCTCAGAGATTGTCTTCCCCCCCAAGATGACAAATTCCTCATACAAACACACTGTACCCCACCCCCAGCAGCACTATATGCCCTTGAACGTAGATTTGCCTCAGAATCGGTCCTTCTCAGTGCTCCAAGTGTCAGCCCTCAACTGCCTGGAGGTAGCCCTAGAAATGGAACTTGTTTGCCATCCCAATAGCCAAGTGAAAAATTGAAACCTAGAAAATTTAAGTGATTCCCTCAAGGTTAATAGCAATGGAAATGAGAATTCTCCTCTACTTCTCCTGCCTTCTGTTTATGTCCTGGATGGGCTGAACCTTCTCTACAGCACACCAGTTTAGAGAAAAAGTTCCTGTCATTTCTTTACAACAAGATCAGAAAGTCTGATAGAATTTTGGTCACCATGTGTCACTTGGATAGGTCTGAAAGGTTAGTTTCACAGTTGTTTCATGAACCTTGATAGAATTAATTATCTTCAAGGTTAATATTCACACAATGAGCAAACACTTCTGTAAAAAAAACAGTAAGCCTACTATACTATAGGCTTACTTCAAGTTCTCATGGAAAGCACAGGAGTCACAGTTTCTTCAACAAATTGCAGAGGAACAGAGATTCATTATGAGAATCTATAGATTAAGAGACTTCAGAGAAAAATGCCTTAATTAGTCACAAGGAAATTCAAATTTGGATGCAACTCTGATGTCTTAGCTACTTTTCTCATTACTTGAACAAAATATCTGACATCCACCAGTTAAAGAAGGAAAGGGTTTATTTTGCCTCGCGGTTTGTAGAGGTTTGAGCCCATAGTTAGCTGGCTCCCAGGCAGTGGGGACATGACAAAGGGCATTGTAGAGACGAAAGAGTTCATGGCTTGGCAAGCTGAAGGCAGTGAGGGAGAAGAGCAGCACCAGCAAACTTTCCTTTCCCTTTTATCCCACCCAGGCTATACGCCTATTGGTTGGTGCTACCCACATCAGGATGGGCCTTCCCATTATACACACTAGAACTGTACTAAACCAAACAGTGGACTCATTTAGTTATTCTTAATCCACATTCACACACCCTAGATCCAGTCACCTCCGAAAAGCCCTGCTTATGAGCACATGAGGTTTTGAGGAGACATCTAGATACATACCATAACATCTAGCTATCTATTAAATGACTTGGAAAAAGAAATAGAACAGAACTAAGTGTGGTTGAGGGAGGAACTAGAATACTCATCTCTGCTGGTAGGATTGTACATTGGTATTGTGGAAGATAATCTGACTATGTATTTGCAGACCCTGTAAGCCAGTACCTCTACTTCTCAGCATGTGTCTCAGGGGTTTGTGCTTATAAATGTGTACCAGGAGGCATATACTAGGATGTGCACAGCAACATTTTGTAATTGCCCCAGACAAGAAACTGCCCTGATGTCCACTAGTTGAATTGGTGAAGCGTGGTTTATTCACCTGGAGGAATCCTCTGTAACAAAGAGGACAAACCTATAACTGCTTATAAACACAAGTGGAAGTAAAAAGCCTTGCAAAAAAGGACAGATTCTCTATAAATGGTGCTTTATGTAAACAAGCCTCTTTTAGATCAACTCTTAATGTTTCAGGTTATAAATCTTTAGTGCTTGCGTTCTCCCATACTTCCTTTCGACAACTTAGAAAAATGTCTGGCATATGCTTTCTGGCTCATGTTTCTGGGCTGGTGTCCTTGGAGAAGGGGTGGAGGGCAAAACTGAAGAATGTCATCTTTTCTGCCTTTTCCTCTCACCAGCCCACATATTCTCCAGAGAGGGCTGGGAAGTGCCAACCTCATACATGTGTAAAGGCAGAATTTTAAATTATGATCTGTGAAGCTTGGCAAGGTGGCTCAGTGGTAGACCACTTGCCTAGTCTGCATGAGATCCTAGGTTTGGTCCCCAAAACTGCAAATGCAATACAATAAAATAAAAGTTTGAGAATATAAAGCATTGATTGACATGAAATTGCCCCACATTTAGAAAAAAAAAAAAAACAGCCCTACACACTTCACAAATAGCTTTGCTCTCCAACATGCTATCTGAGGTGTGTACTGGGCCTCATCTAGACAAAGCCTGTGGTATCGTGTTCAGTCTTTGGCAGCTTGCTCAGGATATCTTTTCCATGAACAAACCGTGTGACCAACCAGGTGGGTCTGGCTTCCCAGCCAAGAGATTGTGTATTGATTGGTGGTGGGAAATGAGATACCTTTACAATATATATATATATATATATATATATATATATATATATATATAAAATTGGATATTTAAGATGACATGGAAAAAAAATCAGAGCTTGCTGTTTCCAGGGGAGGGGTTTATTTATGAATTCTCTAGTGCTTGTCTTATAGTAGTGTGGTTTTCTGTGAGTATGTTTGGCACTGCCTCTTCTCACAGACCAAGATAGGTGGGCACAATGCCTTGATAAATGAGGGTCATTATCCTGCAAACCATATGCTATACACCTTGGCTCCACCCATGGCACTACCCATCCAAATAAAACCTAGAAACAAGAGTCTCACCAGTCAAATACTGTCCACTGTCCCTCTAAAGTAGCTCTCAATCCATTATGTCCTCATTCTCACCACAAGTGAGTCTCACTGGCCTCCCTGAAGCAGTTCGGTGAACAGCTCCTGGCCTCTCCTCTCTCCTCAGACATTCCTCCTTGTTTTCTCACAGTAAATCTGATGAGGTTACTTACCTGCTTCAAACCGATCCATGGCTTCCTGTTATCTACAGAACAAAAATCAGATGCCCTCGCCTTCCCTACCCTGCAGATCCTGGCCTCACTCACCCCCCTGCCTTTTCTGTCTTCCTCACACAGCATTCAGCCACCAACCGTTTTCTGGAATATACCAGCTTTTTTATAGCTCGGTGCTATGTCCTATCTTCTGCCTAAAATGTTCTTCCACAACTTTATCCAAACAGAAAATCTTTCATTCTTTAAGATTCAACTTCTGTAACCTCACTGCCTCGCTCTCTGCCTGCCTCTCCTGCTTGCACCATTCCCTGCACATATTTCTGTCTGTGTTCATCACACTAGGGTCCCATGACTGTCTCTGCTAATGTAAAGGAGCCAAGAAGGCCAGGGATTCCATCCTCCATCTGGAACTTCTGCACAGGGTTTATTTACACCTAAAGGCCCCTGAAGTCTGCTGTATAAGCGAGCAGAATCTCCTTGGGCATAAGGCCATTGCTGCTGATTCGGATGTTCACAAGGACTTTATGAACCATTTCTATCTTGAGGTCCATTCTGAGAGCAATCTCCTGAAACTGCAGCCTTAATCTAAATGATTTAGGATAACTTTATAGCTTCTCTCTTTCTGGCATTATGAATTTAAAGTAACTGCCTTGATTTAGTTTCTAAATATCTTGTGTATCAAAGGATAGTTATACTCAAAAATCGGGTCTTGTTAGCACATACCATTCCTGTACAGTCATCTCTTCTTACTCACTCGGCATTTAAATACCTTTTTCTGTCTTCCTCACAATCGTCCTGTGAAGTGTTGACCCATTTTGAGAATAAAAATGGAGGTTCTGATGTAAAATAACCTCTTTGAGAATATTTGGTTATTAATTCGCTGTTGTATACCACTCCAATGATCTGTGAACTTTTTTACCCATGTAACTCCTTAAAGAATTTGTAAAATATATATCCATCATACATTTTAAATTGGCATGTAAAAATCTTGGAGATACATGCATACGAAGTATATAATTTCTGCCATGTTGTAAATGTTGGCATCTTACACTGAAATGAGTAACACCATTCTTTTAAATACATCCAGGAAAATTTAAATAATACAGTGCCTTAAAATCCATTTAAAAATAAATAACCTCTTTTGTAGCAATTCTGAGTATTACACTATACTTTTTTCTTACTAAAATTATATTTCCATTTCACCTCTTACCTACAGATGCTTTCCCTAATATATTTTATCATGAGTTATTTTATTACCCTACTGTAACATCTTTAGTATAAAATTTAGAATTATTTAAAAGTTCTTGTAACTATAAACAAGGGAAATGTTTCTAGAATTTCTCCCAAATAAGGAATAAGTGTTTACCAGAAATGCTGCTCAATGCAATAAATGAAGGGTTACATCACAAATGTGTGGATGGCTATTACTTATTATTAGAATGAGACAGGATTTGGTATCAATTTTCTTTCCAGTTTTCATTTTTTAGAGACAAGAGAAATATTAATATAAAGCTGATGGAAGTAGTTTTATTTAAAATCATGAAATTCTTAACATTCTCTTTGAATATATGTGCTAAAAGATCATACAGCAATCTTTTCTGCTGATCCATCAACTTTCAGTTCAATAAGGTCCTCTTTCCTTTCTTTGAAATCAAAGAAATAGAAATCCACATGATTTGCAGAAAGATTTATGTGGAGTCTCTGAAGTCATTGTTCTTTCTCAAGTCTATACGCTAGTGTGACTTATCCCTTTGTATGGTACCCTAGAAAATGAGATAAATGGAAATACATACATATATATAGCAGTTGATTTCCTTGACACTACTCAGGCACACTCCCTGGGAAGTTTCACATACTACCTGCTGCATACATCTCCAGTTTGAAAACTGCTGTACACCACCATTTGGCTCCTCCAGTCTGACCTCCCCTTTCCCCTGCCCATAGGTTATTGCTGCTGAAGGAGAAATGAATGCATCCAGAGCTCTGAAAGAAGCCTCCATAGTTATCACCGAGTCTCCTGCAGCCCTTCAGCTTCGATACCTTCAGACATTGACCACCATTGCTGCTGAGAAAAACTCCACAATTGTCTTCCCTCTGCCTATAGATATGTTGCAGGGCATCATGGGGGCAAAACACTGAGCCATGTAGGCCAGCACTGAGATGAGCTATACATGTCTGAGGAAGAAGTAGGAGACCAAGTTAGCCCTCAGCTCCGTGAAGAGAGTAGAGCAGGGGACCTTGAATATCCCTGCTTTGTCCTTTTCTATATGTCAAGGGTTTTAGAATGTGTAGTGATTATAGAAACAGTGGAATGAATTACTGGCTTGTAAATACTAAGAGAGAGACTGGCGATTTATATGTAAGATAATGTCCCACTCTTTAAACTAATTAAGGGTTTGTATTTTAGATCATCCTGGAATAGGTTAAATCCCTCTTCTTTTAACTTCCATTGAGTCATGCTGAACACTGTCAACAGCCCAACCAGAGGCAAGAACACAAGCTACAGCCAGCTTCTCTGGGCCATCTGTGCCTTACCTCCAGGGGGTCCTAATTAAGGACATTTCCTTGGTGTCTACCTACTTCATAAACCCAAACCTCACTGGACAGGAGGCATCTTCTTCTTGTACCTATCAACCCATAACCAATGGTCAGGATTGATGAAAAGGGTTGTACTGACCCTTCAGTAACTTTTTAAATTCAGCATTATGCTGGTCCTTGTGAAAATAGCAGATACATTTTTTTTGTAACTCCTTTGAGCCTCCTTCGGGAGGAAGACAGCCCTCTGTGGTCTGTCTTTCAAACCACCTCACTACTTATCACAAAAGTGCTTCTTCTAAATTTTGCCTGTTTTCACATATCGTTTTGAATAGTTTTGATTTTTTAATAAAAATTTCTCTAAGTTCTATAAACAGTTATACCCATTTGAATAGCTAAAGAGTTAAAAGATTTTTTAAAAAAATATCTTCAAAAAACCATTAACATTACTGTCTGCATGCTATTAACTATTGTACACTGCAAAATATCGTGCCTACCAATCCCACCCATGAAGACCTGTAATGTTAAAGGATTATGGGCCAACACTGTAGAGCTTAGGATACATATGTGCGATGTAGAACTCTTAGTTTGCCACATTATTCTTTTCCTTAAGTCTGTGTTGACACAGAAGGAAGTAGTCAGCTCCTTTGGGCCATTGCTTCTTGGCCTGTAATATTAGGACACATCTTCTTTATGCAAGTGCCTATGAATTGGAGCAACCTGACACTTTCTACTGTCCCGGAAATCTGGTGGTTGACATTTACAGCATATCCTCTTTGAAGCTCTCAGTTTACCTGAAGTCTGAGAATAACAGCTTCCTTTTCCAGCACCTGTCTTTATCTCAGCCCTTAGCTGAATCACTCTGTTGATCCTAGCCCATAATATCCCTTCCACCATTCTCCATTTTTAAGCTTATTTTAGAAAACTTCAACTACTTTTGGTCCAGGTTCTTGAGTTTATTAGAGGTATATGCACTGTTTCAACACAGGACTCTAGCTGCACTTGCATTTTAAATTTTAAAATAATGTTTTTGTCTATTTACCCTTGATCACTGAGGACAGGAAACTCCATATCCTGGTGAAAAATCTTTTTAGATGTAGAATGACAGTGCTTTTTGGTCCCATGAGTTTTTATTTCTCCAGATATCAAACTGTCATCCTTGAGAGGGAAAAAGCCTAGAAGGAGTCCTGGGGTGAGAGCATTAGTACAAAAGTGTTTGCCATAGCATCCCTTTCTGATAATATACATAATAAAGTTTGTGCGCTTTAATTTTCTCTGGGTGCAAGTCTGTTTCTGAACCCCTGCAACATCCAGCCTTTGAAGAGCTGCCCTGGATTAACAGTAGCCCACCACTTAGAGAGTACTAGTTGCTTATTCCTCCCTGTGCTTAAACACATGTGCATACATTCATCATTTGTCCTCCAAACTGCTACATTTCATAGAAGAAACACTGAGGCTCAAACTAATACTTAATAAACTAAATGGTGGTGAGGAGCAGAGCTGTTATTAAGTCCAGACTGTCCAATGCTAACGTCTACTTAAGGTATCTCAATGTATCTTCATGTGTCACTGCTTCCGTTGTCCCTATATACACCATCCCCAGCAGCAGAAGTCATTTTATGTGTATATCATGAATTTCCAAAGCAATCAAAATTCGCTTGACTTTGCATTCACACCCAAGTAGGTTTTAAACTTAAATTTTAGTTGTGGGTCATCTGCTCAAGCTGAAGTTCAACACAAATAAGGGGAGTTGATTTTATCCCACTAACATAGAGCCCTATAAACCTATATTCATCGGTGGTTTTCAAACTTCCTTTCAGATGTGAGTTCCTTTGGTCAAAGAAGAGTGCATGCTGGCAAGAAGGATTCAAATGTCTTACCAGCATTAGTTCTTAAGTTCACATGTATAATATTCACAAAAGTACACCAATGAGAATAATGAGACTGCTTTGAAAAACAAAAATATTAACCACACTTATGAGTTATGAACTTAAATAAGGCTCTACACTCATTTTTTAAGTATCTATGAGTTTCATTACCACTTCAGAACTGGAATTTGAATCACATATTTGTAAAATCACAGGAGTGCCTCATAATTCTCCAGATCTCGATCTGAAAATCATGCTCTTAAGTGCTTCCCCATCTTGCACAACTTACGTGACCTTAGATGAGGCGTTATTTCCTCAGCCTCATTTTCCTCATCTGTAATATGGGATAATAGTCTATCTGTTGTTTGTGTCTCTGACCTTAGGAGCACTTATGGTACTTTGACAAGAGTAAACAGGTGCCTGTACACACTGATTGCTATACCTGAGGGGAAATACTACCCAAAGACTTAGAACCTCTAGGCCAAATCAGATCTAAGATCCTAACTTATTGTCTACAGCCATACCACTCTGAACGTGCCCGATCTTGTCTGATCTCGGAAGCTACGCAGGGTCGGGCCTGGTTAGTACTTGGGAGATCCTAACTTATAAGCTACATAGTTACCTGAATAACTAGTTCTTTACTTTTGAGGACCTAGGAAGGCTAAACAAACCATAGCAAACCATAACTTATTGTGGGTCAACAATGGGCAGGGCTCTTTATACATCTTTCCCTTCCATTCATAATCCCTTTTGGCTTTGCTGCCCATGTCACGGGCAATCCATGAATCCCTTGAGGTTTTGAGGGCTCTTCCAATAATATTGACAATAGCAAGTCTACAGCAGATCCTGGACAAGATTTTCCTAACAGAATTTTGCTAACAGAATACAGCCCTTTCCAATCCATCCTATAGCCAGATGAGTTTGGTAAAAGAGAAAATTGAAACCGCTGTTAATTTTAGGTTTTATGCTGGGTACATGGGCGCATGTGTGTAATTCTTGTTACTCTGGAGGCCAAATTCAGTGTAAGCCTGGGGAATTTAGCATGACCCTATTTCAAAATAAACAGGGCTGGGAATGCAGCTCAGTGGTAGAGCACTTACCTAGTATATGCAAGGCCTGGGTTCAATATACAGTACAGAAAAAAGTTGGCGGGAGGAAGGGAGGAAAGAAAGAGAGGAAGAAAGGAAGGGAGGAAACAAAGAGAGGAAGAAAGGAAGGGAGGGAGGGAAAAGAGGAAGGAAAGAGTGGACAAAAGGAAAGGAAGATGGAGTTTTAGTAATTGGGGGTATAACTCAGCGGTAGTGTTACTGGGGTTTGGGGTGCTGGAGCCTCCTCCTTTTAGAGGTGGTTTCTAGGTGCTTTCTGTCCTAAACAAAGAATTGGTCAAGACAAGCTCAAAAGGTAGCAGTTTTACATTTATTAAAGGTAAGGAAAGAAACATCTTGTGCAGAGCAAATCTGGAACAAGTAAAAGTAGGAGAAGGAATACACTCTGTAGCTGAGAAGGGCTCCGAGAAAGAGCACCGCAGTGGAAAGCTCAGCTGTCACTTTCTGTTTGTAATTCCCACTCCTCAGGCTGACATCAGGCCTAGGCCACTGATCCAAAACCGCTGGAGTTCTTGAGAGAAGTCCACATGCAGGGCTTTGGAAACTGTTCTGTGCATGTCCTGGGGTCTGGTGAAAAACAGATCACACCCACTTCCCCAGCCAGTCTGCCAAGCCTTAATCTATCCTCAAGGCCCTGAGTTTAATCCCCAGCACCAAAAACAGAAACAAAAATAAAACACCAGAAATCCAAATTTCACAAAGCCCTAGGCACTTAGTAATCATAGTATAGGCTAAAAATCTTCCCTCAAAATTTCTGGGGGAAGAATGGCTTGAAATCAAGTCCTTTGAAACTACATTTCACAAGACTATAAAACACTTTACAGTCAACAATTTTTGCTTTTAGTGTCTGGCCCAATAATTGTTTCCAACAAAATCACTGTCTACTCAGAGTCAGTTTACCTCCTGCCTTCCTAGGAACCTTGGCTTTGTTCAGGTAGGTCTCCCTTAAGCTCTCTCCTCAGGAGGAATCCATACCCAGTGGATCAGCCTGTGCTAATTTCACCTTCCTGACCCATGATTTTGTCAGGAATGGTTGTGTGATCCGTTATGAACTCTTGAGGCCTGAGGGAAGGTCTTCTGTGGATGTAGGGGCTGTTCTTCCCTTTCATGAGAAATCTTCTAGCAACTATCCTTTCTCTTTCTCTAGACATAAGGTGGGAGAGCCAGAATGCATGTAGACATTTCACTATTGTGTAGGGAAGTCAGAGCCTGGAGGATCAACCAGAGAACCCAGACCCATTGGATTGAGACACCTATAAATGCTTCCTAACCTCTGGACTCATGTTTACTGTAAAAAATAGTTTAGTTAGTTAGCTTATGAATAACATAGCTATCTAGGGACAGGGCCTAAGATAGGCAGTGAACTAGGACATTGGACCAAAATATTCTTTCTCTGGGAACATGGAATGCAGCCCCCTCTCTACTAAAGGGAGTTGCAGGCACTCACTACTAAGTTCCTGAGTTTCCAGGAATTTCAAACACAAAATATTAGATTTTTCTTTAAAACATTAGTTTCCTTTAAACCCTACTAACTGAGTAACTGGGCTGCAGAGCCTGACTTCCAAATGATCATTTTAAATTCACAGAACAACCTGTGAAGGGTGGCCATCAAACAATTGTGCAATCCCTATAAACAGTATTGAACTAAAGGACCATGTGGAAATTCCAAGGTTTTGGACTCCCCTCCTGGAGAAACCAGGATCCTTTTTTCTTGTTATTTCCAATGAAAACTTGCCTAACTTTCTCCTTTTGGTTCTTGACTTCATTCTTCCATTTTCGGGGAAGCTACGAGCTTTGTTTGTACAGACTAAACTGTTTCATTATGAGAGGATAGGGTCATGGTTTCATTTGGTTTGAGTTGGTTCTGCATTGCTTACAGCCAAACACAGCCCATCTGACCACACTGTAGGGGTCATTTCACCACCAAGGGTGTGTACCTCACTATGGCTGTATACCCTGGGCTAGGTGTTCTAGACGTTTCTTCTATCTTTGAGCTACTATGGGCTACACATCGTGTTAAGCAGTGCCTCTCATAATCTTCACAAATACAGTATCCTCATTCTCATGGGTAGACAGTTCTTATTCCTATCTTGCAGCTAAGGAAACTCTGAAGAGCTCAAGATCATGTTGCTAATGTGGTGGAGCTAGAATTCAAACTCAGACCTCACTCCAAAACCCAGCTATGAGTCACTATATCACGTTACCTCTGGCTAGGTGGCTAGGGCACATGAATGAAACAGTTCCCAAGCCCTGTCTATGGGCTTCTCCAAAGAACTTGAGTTATTTTGGATAGGGCAGCCCAGACTGATGTCAGTCTGTGGAGTAGGAGATACAAAAAGGACAGTCACTGCTAAATTTTTCACTACTGTGTTCTTTCACAGTAGCCTAGTCTCATGCTATTTAGTGTGCTTTTTTCCTACTTTTATTTGGCCCAAACTTGCTCTGCAGACCATGTTTCTTTTCCTGCCTTTAATAAATATAAAAACTTGCTACCTTTTGTGCTTTTCTTGGTCAATTCTTTGTTCAGGACAGAAAGAACCTAGAAACTATTATAGACAGCTAAGTTACTATTATAGGCACTCAGAGAGGGCCAGGCCCTTATGGGAGTCAGTGCAGAGGATAGGACACATTACAAATGTGGCTGGAGGTGCATCCATTGAAGGCCAGGCCTCAAGATGAAGACAGAATGACCAGGCCTACATGCCTTCCCCAGGGATAACTGGTATTTCCTATTCCATTAAAGTTCAGGTGATCTCAGTCACCTGGGTGGGGTGTCGAGGGGCTTCTGATTCATCTATTCCAAAAAAGATCCTGGTTTTTTCTGTGTACACTTCCTACATGTTTTGGATCAACTAAGAGACTATCTTTGTAATCTTATTGATCACAGCTTTGTTCCTCCTTGGTCCCACCTCATGATTTTGTACCCATCTCATAATTTTGCTCTATAAAACTTTGAGAAGTAGGCAATCCACTTGGACCCCCTCCTGTGTCTCCCAGACAGGAGCTGTCTGTCTCTCAATAAAATTTCCTGCTCTTAACCTCTGTTGTTCCTTAGAATTCATTCTTTGATATCAAACATGTAGCAGGTTGGGAGTTATATTTTATAAAATAATATTTTATTTTTTTAAACTGGAGATCAAACTCATGACCTCATGCTTGCTAGGCAGGTGCTTATACAACTGAGCTAAATCACCAACCCCTCCCCTATATAAACTTATATATCTTAAGGTGCTACATCAAGACAAATCTAGGAGACTGCAGTACTCAATATCTGATAAAATTTGCAAGTTTGAGG